TATAATTTGGTGCAAATGAATGTTGGTGCGGTATTTAATTAAGGAATGGAAGTGTGACGTGCATAAAATGATAGTGACGTTGAAGGTAGATAAGGTGTTGCTGTAGAACTCTCTAGCTATTTAAATTATTGGACAAATCATGGGCAATATGCTGTTGAAAAGATGTTGACGCGTTAGTAATATTTGTTTTAGTGGATACAACACTGATGTGGGTTAAATATAGAAAGCTTTGGCATGCATGTAGCAATTAATTATTTTTATGTCCATTTTTTTTCACACCATTTTTAGGACAACTGATTAGAAAATAGTCACTGACAAAGAAATCTGTTGGACAATAATTGAATAATAGTCACTGACAAAAAAATATGTTGGGCATCAAGTTTTTTTTATATATTACAGAAATGAATTCAACTCTGGAATTATTTCGATTGGTCACATTGGCTCAAATGTTACACTCTCAGTTGGCAGTGGCGCAGCAAACTTCAACTTTAATTTAGCTGAAGCCAAATCAGCTGAGAAGAAAATAGAATTGCAATCCATTCTATTCAAATTAGCTGACAGTGTTTCTCAATTAGAGAAGGAGCTCTCTGCTGTGAATGAACAAATGAAATCTCTGAGGGCAGAGAAGTCATCTAGCAGTGGTATCAGTGCCCTGATGGATTTAAGTCCAAAGAAAGCTGGTGGCAACAAGACAAAGCCCAACAAAGCTGGCATGAGTGTTATTAACCCATCCAGTCGGAAAAGAAAGGCAGCAGCTGGTGTTGTATTTGAAGAAAGCTAAACTAAAATAATTATTTTTTACTTCATTTTACAACATTCTTTGTTGCTCATACATAAAACATTTTTTGTTGTAAGATTTTTAATTCCTTTATGTACAGTTTTTATTTTATTTTTTTGCAATGCAAGTGATTTTTACATAGTTTTTTGTTTAAAAATTGATTTTTATGATGTTTATTTCACCTGTCTGATCTAAATACCAGATTTATTACACAAATTATTTTTGTAAAATAAAGTTTTATTTTTAAATTAAATGTTCTTTTCTTCTTTCTTCTTCTTCGTTCTTAATTATTAGTGTTGAAGGGGATCGAGATTTATCTGCCAGTGGGTTTGAACTCGAGACTTTGTTCGAATTTATCAACCATGAGCTTTCTGCCGACTCGACCACGCCTCCAACACAATTAAGCGTTACGTGTCAACTGGTTACGCGCCATTGAGGCCATTGACTCCGATTTCAGCCTGCTTTTCTTTTTGGATTTGCTTCCATAGCCTTTGTCCAACCAAGAACAATCTACAAGGCAGCAGTTGTTTAATTTTGGAGTTGTCTCTCCTAGAAGAGTGGCTGTCCCCAGTTAACGAGCCTCATCTGCCCGAGGGTTCGAACTCGAAACTTTTTGGTTTAACAACCATGAGCTTTACCGACTCGACCACGTCGACCCCTAATTAAATGTTTGGGTATTTTCTTCTGTTGAAATAGTTTTCCTTTTCATTTAGTTGAGAAATTTTGTAACCAATTAATATTTCTGCACTGAAGACAATATCATGCAAATGTAATATTATTTTTTGATAAGCTAACACTATTTGCCCACTGCTCCCCCATAATTTTCATGGGCTCCAGAACAGGTTTGTTTGAGGTCCACCCCAAGTGTCACACTATTTATGGACTACAGCTGCTTTATAATTTCATTCATTTAAAAAGTGGCTAAAAGCTGGACATCACAATGCTTGAGTCCTGGATGTTTGTAGTTTCAATAATTTTATTTAAATGGAGGTAAAATAAAAAGCAGGACCCTATACTCTAGCAAGGAAATCATTTATTTTAACAACAAAATCTAGAAAATTTAAAAAGTATTAAGAAAATCTATAATAATACTGTTTTTAAATGCAATACATTAAAGCTTTGGTCACTAAAATATTTCAAGAGCTAGCATTGGTTTTTAATTTTAAAGGGGGGGGGGGGGGGGGGTTGGTGCATTATAGAAAACAAACTTATAAAGATTTTTTATTTTAGTCATTTTCTAGTTTTTAAGACATTCTTTCTTAATGTAAAAACCACATAGATCACCTAAATCTAAAAATGTTTGCTTTAAAATCGATCAGTTGCTGCAGATAAATAAAAGACAATTATATACCCCTTGTTACCGCCTCGTAGCTCTCACTCAAGCGTGACCAACAGATTGCAGTCGTAAAAAACAAAATCAAGAAAGACAATCATGTGATAAAAAGCAACATAGTCTAATTTTAATCAGCTTGGAACTCAATTGATGAAAAAAAACACACACAAAAAAACCCCGCGATATTAGGATGGCGTTTTAAATTAAAGTTAAAGGAAATTAAAGTTTAATTCAGAAAACCACATTAGCAGCTGCTATACATTCTCAAGAAGAAACAAAACCAGGTAATTTTTAAAAATTTGGCCAGTGATCTTCTTTACACCGCATTCCTAGATGTATGATATTTCACAATGAAACAAATGTTAAGTCGAATACAGTAACCTAAAAACATTTAATAAATTTAAATATTTGAAATGCTGTCTGTAGTTCTATCCGTCTAAATATAATGACTAATGACTTGTTTGAGACGGGTTCATCAGAACATATAGGGCCTAGGTATGCTTTGTGGTCAGTTTACACGTGGTACATTAGGATTAGACGACGGGAGTTAGACACATTTTATGAAACCTAATAACAGTTTTTCATGGACTTAATCAGTTTCTACCAGGCATCTCTTCGTGATGATTTAAAGTTATGGGAGCATTTTTTTAAAAGAAATGGGTGGTGGCGTGATTATTTAAAGTTGGAACATATTTTAAAAGCAATGGGTGGTTGCGTGAGTGTTTAAAGTGTATTTAGTAAATTTTTTAGTCTTGCTGTTCCCACCCCCCCCCTTAAATGGTATGATTTTTTGTTTGTTCTTTAGGTTAAGTGTTGTTAACCAGTTTTCAACTGTAAGATTTATTTTTAAAACGCAAAAAAACATCAACTCAAAACAACCATACAAAAATATATTTTCATTCTATTGTCTAATAATCTATTTTTTTTTTTAAATGCATCAAAGCTGGACTATCTAATTGAACAGCGGGGTGGATAAGTATTGATTCTGGTATCAGCTCGGTCTCAGTCGTTGCTTTTTTTCTCACTGAAACCAAAGACTAGTCTTTAATGGTTTGTTGTATTCCGAGCATTATTTATCAGGATTATTGATTTCTATGTATTCCTTTAGAACAGTATTATTTTAATAAAGTACAGATTGAAGTGAGATCAATAGAAACTGTAACAGATGTCGTACGTATCAGCACGCACGAATAGACAGTGAGTGTCAAGGCTGAGCCACATGCACAATATTTTTCTCAGCAACTGCCACATTGCTGGTAGAAATTGTCTTGTTTACATACGCCTGGTTTACTGTGGCACCAACAGCGTCGACAGAGGCGTAGTTAGGGGGAGGGTGGGTGTCACAGCTCACCCCAGTACATACATTAATGGGCATTTGCTCACTTGTTTCACATGCCCCTGCCGCCTACTGCTGGCTAAATGACCTACTTGACCTAGTGCTAATAAATTCATTTCTAAACGAGGTACTGTTTCTGTCCACGGTTAGAGCTGGCGGTCAGTAAAGTTTTAGGCTTTGTTCACACTAAATAATATTTTCGATGGTAGTTTTTACGAAAAAAAAATGAACTGGGCCAAAGTGGTTGCTTAGAGCCATATATGGCCTCCTCGTCCATACATGCGTCACAATTTATCGTATTTTACTCCCCCCCCCCCTTTTTACACCACAATATATATGTCTTTGGAAGTTATGAACTGCTTAAAAGTATGAAATAAAGTTAATTTCGCACTATGCTAAACATACGATTTCTATTAAAAAGGCAGCATTTATCTCTATATATAGGCCATATATATATATATATATATATATATATATATATATATATATATATATATATATATATATATATATATATATATATATATATATATATATATATATATATATATATATATATATATATATATATATATATATATATATATATATATATATATATATATATGGCTACAGGACATTACCCCCCTGGATATTTCCCCCCCCCCGGACATTTCCCCCCGTATTTACCCCCCGGAGCAATTACCCCCTGTCAATTACCCCCCTGTCAATTACCCCTCCGGGGAATTACCCCCCCCCCCCCCCCCCCCTCTCAAGTTAAAATCCTAACTCTAACTAGAATTTTATACCTATATACTACTTTAATCCAAACCTTAAGAAAAAGAACAAAACCTAAGCATCCACCTTAGCCTAAAACTTCACACAAAACCAAAACCAAAGCTAGACTCAACCCTAACCCTAAAACTAGCTCTAACTCTAGCCCTAGCCCTAACCCTAGCCTTAGCCCTAACCCTAACCCTAGCCCTAAAACCTAACCATAACCATAACCCTAACCATAACCCTAACCCTAACCCTAACCCTAGCCCTAAACCTAACCCTAAACCTAGCCCTAACCCTAACTCTAACCCTGTCCGGGGGGGGGGGGGGGGGGTGGTAATGTCCTACTGGGCGGGGGGTAATTGACAGGGGGGTAATTACTCTGGGGGGTAATGTCCGGGGGGGGGGGGGAATATCCGGGGGGTAATTGACAGGGGGGAAATGCCCTGTTCCCATATATATATATATATATATATATATATATATGTATATATATATATATATATATATATATATATATATATATATATATATATATATATATATATATATATAAATATATATTTAATTAATAGATTGCCCGGGCGCCGGATGGGTAGCTACGCCTCTCGGTGGTAAACTTTTTTTATTACTCTCATTAGTCTCAAAAACTAGTTATTTTTTCACAAAACCGCCTTATTTTTGTGAAAATTAAGACGCACATGACAATTAACGCGACTGAGAGATGTTAAAAGGGCTGTAATTTGAGAAATGTTTTTGGTCAAAGCAACATGCGGAGGTGTAGCATCAACGTTACAAGTAAACTAGAGGACTGCCACTACATGTATATAAAGAGAACCACTGGCAGTAGTAGTTATCTGGCTGCTGATCTTGTAGAGCTGTTCTTTGACTTTGCAAGTGACGTACTTCGGCTTTACTAGCAAGGTAAGATATTTTTTGTGTGTTTAATATGAAGAAAATGTTGTTAGTATGTAATGTATACATTGATGTTTGTGACGTTTGCATTTATTTTTTACAAGCTTTTTAAATCGCTTTCTTGTTCTTTTGATTTTATTACAAGTCTTTATTTAACAAACTTTTTCTGTCTGTCGAGCTTGCATCGTCCCTCATTGACATCAAAATCTTGACCACTTCTAGTAACTTTCACCGTACGGATATCTTTCACTCTTGATACTTTATTCAAAACTCGGTGAAAATAACATCTGACATAAAATTTTACTTAATCAGATGCTTATTTATTTTCTAAGAATTACTTACATTTCTTATATAAAGTATTAATTTTATTGCACTATCAACACAATTTGTAGCGCAAGGCTTTTAATCATGCAACTGTATTATGTTTTTAAAAATTAATTGTTGAGATTTTTTTAAAATTATGCACAAAAAGTATAAAATCAATTATTTTCTTTAATTAAATAAATAATCTATCTCTGATCTGTACCTGACTGCGGCTGCTGGGCATAATGTTGACCACACTATCCCTTTAAATGCCAAGATCACAAAAACAGGCGAACTCTACTTGTCCCAAGGCCCGTCAGGTTTGAATGGGAACTTTGCTATATAATAATAAACCACTATTTAAATAACTAAAAGGAAAAGTGTGGGTCTCCTCTTAACTTGTAGTTTATTGGTAGAGGAAGCAATTTTTTTTTAAAATCTTGTAAAAAACATGAAAAAAAAACAACAAACCATTTCAATGGACGGGAAGTGCCACACACCCCCATAGCCCTATATGAGAATATACGAGAAAGTTTTGGGGGGTCACTCCTGATTTTTAAAAAAAATATCTTTTCTATTATCAGTCTCCGTTTTAAAGGAATATCACACG